GTTGAAGTTCACTGTTCACAGCCTCGTCTCCGTTCCTTGCGCCCATGCTCAGAATATAACAGTAAGAAAGATGGCTTTGATATAAATATGCAAGAACCATTACCTAGGCAGAAAGGGCCTAGACAATGAGATAACATTCAAAAACAACTCAGGCAGATACCTCTCTAGTTCACTGGAGTATAAGAAGGTGAGGGTGGGGGGAGCACAATCAAACTTGCAATTCTGTTTTTTATAGCCAATCATAGGAAAAGCAGTTTTAGTCCTTATGTGGATTTGATTTCCTGATCTGGTATATCTAGTGTATGACTGACAAATATATACACATATAATACTTTCCTTGCTTCCCAAGCTATGTTAGTATTATTAGGTGTAACAGATGTATTAATACTAATACTATTATAGAAGGAAGGAAAGCTGGGTCTGAGAGAGGGATTGATAGAGAGAGACAGAATAGTACAGAGCACTGAAGGCTTTGCTGACATATCTGTAATGCAGGGATGTGCAGGGGAAGACTGAACTCTGGCTGAAAGGGGGTGGGATAGATACAGAAAGGCTCGACCCATACCAGGAGACGAGGCAGGGAAGTACAAAGGCACATTCTGAGGTAAGAAATGGCTTTCTGGGATGGGGTGGTTCAACGGCATTTTCAAGTACTTTCCTGATGGCCATAATTTCTGACTTGAATTGCCTTAAAGGAGGGGAAATCTCCACCCTGTCCCCAAATGTTCTAAGTTTGGCAATAACAAGAATAACTTCATCCTTATTCCAAACAAAAGGAGAACCAGACCAACAGAGTCACCTTGTGGTAAGATGGTGACAAAAAAATAATAATATCAAATAAATAAACAAAAACTGTAGCTTGAATGAAATGGTCATCTGAAAATGACCGTTTCATTCTTCCTCCTTTTATATGCACCTCCCTTTTTTTTCTTAACCTGGCTCAGAAACTAGAAGATTGAAATGAGTACCCTTTGGAGGGCAAATGGAGCCATAATGTCTCAAAACCAGACAAAACCAAACCAAACCAACATTTTACAACCTGTTTATTTTAGAATAAATCAGCTCAATCCTCCAACACTGATGATGTCTGAAGTTATTTCAAATTGGCAAAAACCACCAAAAAAATCCTTGCAAGGATGTGCCCTTATACAATTGGATTTCAAACTAAGGACTGAACCCAGAGTCACCTTTCTAATACCACTATTAGGAAAGTGAAATATGCTATAAGAGTATTTTAAAATGATGTAAAGCAAAGTTCTCAATATTTCACCTTGCACATGTAACCTACCTTCCAAAATGGGATTGGCTTCAAGAATCTGTTGCTCAATCCAGGAATGTTGACCACTAATAACAGCTAAGAACTGCAACATTAATTTTGTGCTTTCCGTCTTCCCAGCTCCAGACTCTCCACTGGAATAAATTTTGTAAAATTGGTATCAGAAGTATTAATTAAACAAACTTATTCTTCCCTTTTCAGGCTTCCCTACAAGTCATGTGAGGTGACTACTTTAAAGATGCCCTCTGCTTGCACTTCCAAGTATTCCATAGTAACTTTAAGAATCATTTTCAAAGCCTCTATAATATTTTCTCTGTTTTTTTTCCTCCAAGCTATTTAAATATTTCACAGTATTAACACATTTTTCCATTACATTATGTTCCCCTTACCTAATGACAGAGCATTGATCTTTCTTATTTCTCAGCATGTTGAAATAACAATTATCAGCAATGGCAAAGACATGAGGAGGCAGTTCCCCAATTCTCTTATTGAAGTAGAGCTGGATTTGTTCCATGGTATACAATGGCAGCACTTGATATGGATTGATGGCTACAAGAATAGAGCCTGTGTAGGTCTAAAAAAATTTATGGCAATGAATATGAGAATCCTGGATCTCATTTAATCTCAAAATAAGTTACTGATAGGAATATTTACAATATCAAACAACATTCGTATCATCTTATTCCCCTTATAAATATGTGAAATTATAGGTGACTATACTTAATAAAAGTAAAAACTGTAGAATGTAGAATAACTAAATATAAACTATATAAAATTGGATGAATTGAATGAAATGTGTGAAAGGCATTAGAATACATTATATTTACAAAGTGTGTATACAGAAGATTCTTGCAAACAAATTAGTCTGTAGACATTTTGCTTATTTTTAAAGCCATTTCTCTGTATAAGATTTTATTTGTAAGCAATAAAGAATATATAATTCTCTCATTATAAATCATTTTTTAAAATGGGGCTTCAGAATCTGTACTTGACTACATATTGACTTGACTACATATTATTAATAAAAAATCAGTCTTACATAGATGTTATTCTCCTTGTAGCGGATATATAGATTGTGTACCATGCCAGCTTCATTCATCTCTTCAAGATATATCATATCTTCCACTCCTTGGATAGAGGCAGCATGCATTGGTCGCATTGCGCTAATGTTTTGAGCTGTGATCCAGTGCTCCTTAAATACAAGTGCATTTAACTGTCTGGATTTCATATACTAGCTTAGTTTGCTCCTGAAAATAGCTCTTAAGATTCAGGCCATAGAGAACATTAGTATGCTTATCTGAAAATGCAGCAATGAAAAACATGATACAGGTTTTGGTTTGTCCTGTTACATTGCATAACACCTGTTTAATTTTGGCTATGAATCCCAGAGCTTTGCAAAATCCAAAGACTTGGCTCTATATCTGAATTCAAACTTATTTCCAGCTTTGGAATGCATGTGTCAAATATGAACAATACTCCAAAACACCTAAAGCTGTTGTCAAAGTGCAATTTTAAAAAAAAATAAAAGAGAAGAAAATTATTAAATGCATAGGAAGAACTCCTATTAATCACTTTTAAATGAGTTATATTACACTAATTGAAATACAAGTTTAGATTAAATCACATTTACATTTTGACAGGAATCCCACTCACTTTTTAGAATTGAGCAGCAAAACATCCCACTCAACTGTCAAATGTACTGTTGAGCCTTGAATAATTACAGATCCATCCAGCTCTTTAATTGGATACAGAAGATCATATACAAAAATTGGGTACAGATGAAAGTGTTAAGTAGCCTACCTTGCCTTCATCATCCTCCAGCAAGAGTCGTGCTGAGTTAGATACTTTCACCACTGCCCCAATGGGCACATTAAACTCTTTTCCTGAATGGGATTCCAGCCATACATGATCACCCTAAGAGAAACAATATTCTATAAAAGATCTTATGCTTTTCCTTGTTCTGACTTACCTATATTTTTTTTGCTTTGTATGCTGCCAAATCCAACAGATTCATGGTTTTCCATTGAAATGAAAACAGCTGCACATATAAGTCATATACAAGCAACAAACATTAAATAGAACAGTTCTATTTCTGCATGTTATTTAATAATAAAAGCTAATGTTAGTATTTCAAAAAGTAAACATGCTGTCCCAGCAATTCTTGTAGACAGAGAAGTGGAAAACTGACTAGAGGATAACAGAAGGCAAACATTGGATTCTCCAATGGTGTAGAAAAAAGCTGAAGTTTACTCTTTCTAGTCCACTGAGTTTCAGGAACTGGGTTTGAAAACAAACTCTTTGGAGTCAAACTAAGAATTCAAAGTAATATTCAAAATAAAGTATCTAACCAAATGAGTAAATTCTTCTAGCAGAAGCTGTTAGAGGTTTCTTCTCCGAGTCTTGTACCAAGACTTAGTACAGCTTCCAAATTCACCTGTGAGTATATAAGCAACTCCTTAGTTGTGTAGTCTCTGACCTCTTCCTTTGCTCTGAGGACGGCACTCCAGACTGAAGAATAAGGTATCTTCTTTACCTGGGCAATGATTAGAGTCACAGCCAGGGCAGTATAGAAGAGTGGTGCGTTCGTAGAGGCCCAATAAGGGTAATCCAGCAAATGCTTTCTCTGTAAATTTCCCAGTGTTGTCCTCTGACAACTGTCGACTTCCTCATCCTTCTTCTCCAGTGCCCACACCTGCTCCTTAAGACCAACTTTTATGCTTAAGCAGGCACAAGAGTCAGTTTTAAGACTCATCTCAAATCCTAGTCCATGGCAATGGATGCACTGAAAGAACTTACTTTTCTACATCCCTTGCATGTGTGCAGAACAGGCAAGTAATGCTTTTCGGTACGATATGACATCTCTTTCATCAAGATGTTAGAGAAGAGCAGCCACGGCCTCACCATGAGCAATTCTCATCAATTTTATGATATGGTGATTACTGGAATGTAATTTTGGCAATCATTTGTTCCGTCAATATGGATTTTTTTGCAGCTTATATAATTTATAAGAGTCAATATATGTTAAAAGATGAGAGTAACTATCTGCTTTGCTTGACTCTTGCCCCATCTGACTGATTAAATCTGCCAGATTGTAAGGGAGGTGAAGGGAGGTGAACCTACTTGAGGGTAGCATGTGATCTCTACCAGGTCATGACCTTTACTAAAAAAAGCCCTTCTTCGACTAGGAAGATTTTTGCAATTATAGGTCAGTGTCAAATATTCTAGGCATGAGTAAAATGGTCAAGAAATTGGTAGTTTTACAGTTCCAAAAGCATTTGGATGAATTAGATTTCCTGGACCTAGTACATTTGGAGTTTTATCCAGGTTATGATACTAAGACTGCTTTTGATATACATTCCTTATGTTGTAGGCAAGATTTGCCATCTTGTTTTTACCTTGTTTGTTTTCGTTAACTCTTTTTTTAATTGTATTACATTTTTTTTCTCATTGTGATATTGTGAGCTGCCCAGAATCATTCTAGAGTTCGGCTGTGCTTAAACTGAACTAAATTAAATTAAATCTACACAGAAATTGAGGTTCCTATTAGTTCACTGGGATTTCTTGGTGCTTTTTTTATACCATCAACTATATTATGCTATAACTATATAACAACTATGAGAAAGCTCATAGTTAAATAACATCCTTGAATCATCCCAATTTTGCTAATTAAGTGGGTGAAAGATAAGGAATAAACTTAAATTCAGACAAGGATGAGGCTGCACTTTTCACAACGGAGAAAGTCCTCCACTCTTCTGCTTGCAACAGAATACCTTATACCACCAAACTTGAAATTTTGGGCTTAGAAAACTTAGAACTATGCTGCCTTCGGTCTGACCTAAGCGTAGTACACAAAATTATCTGCTACAATGTCCTACCTGCCAATGACTACTGCAGCTTCAATCACAACAATACACAAACACAAAATAGATACAAACTTAAGGTAAACCACTCCAAACTCGACTGCAGAAAATACAACTTCAGCAACAGAGTTGTCAATGCCTGGAATGTACTACCAGACTCTGTGGTTTCTTCCACAAACCCCCAAAACTTTAACCTTAGACTGTCTACTGTTGACCTCACCCCATTCCTAAGAGGTCTGTAAGGGGCGTGCATAAGCGCACCAATGTGCCTACCATCCCAGTCCTAATGTCTCCCTTTTATCTGTACCTATTTCATGTAATCATAATCATGTTCTAATTATATTTGTTATCTAATACATGCTTGACAAAATATATAAAATAAATAAATAAATAAATAAAATTTCAGAGAGGTTCTTGATCCCCAGGTATCACTGAATATAAAGAGACAAGTATGATGAGTAAGGAGTTTGCACAGCTAAAACTATTCCATTAACACCAGCCCTCCTTGAGCCAGGGAGACTTGCTGACAATTATTCATGCCCAGTTTCAATCATCTTCACTGCTGCAACACATTCTATATGGGCATATTTTTGAAAAATATACAGAATGTGAAATTGGTATAATATGGAACAGATAGGCTGTTAACCAGAGCAAGGCACAGGGAAGACATCGTGTCTATAACAGAAAAAGCTATACTGAGTGCCCATTGCCTATTGAGTACAATTTAAGATGTTGGTGCTGACCTTAAAGACTTAAATGGCTTAGAACAGGACCAGCCCTCTCTTTAGGAATTACCCAATTATTTAGATCAGCAGGAGAGGCTATTTTGAAGATGCCCCCCCACCCCCGAAGCTTTTTGCTATGCAGGGTATGAAACATACTTCTCAGGGAGATGTGCTTGGACCCTCATTTCCAGTATTTAGGTAAATGACCAAAATATATTTTTCTTCATCAAATTTTTACCTGTACATTGAATTTAAATGTATTTATTGTGATTTTGATTCTACTGTTTTTTTGTTTTAATTTTAAATCAAACCAAAGAGTAAGCACCTTTATAAGCTGACAGTGGAGTATTGTATGTGCATGTTTAAAATTATATCTGTTGTAAAAGGGAGGATCACTGTAGGTAACATTTGTTTTAAATCCAAATACTTAATGCTGAATGAAAAAAATAATCTAATTTAGGATGACAAGATATCACCAGCGTCTAATACTGGGAAGTACTGTATTTATCTCACAAGTGGGTGAAAGTCTAAAACCTGAAAGCAATACAAAGGTTCAAATAGGAAAATAATGTTCTTTTTCTGTGCTGGATTAATTGTTCTAGAAACTCTTTGTCCTATCAGGCAGCTACACCGTAGTGTCTTATTTTTAAAAAGATTTTCTAGCCTTCAGTAGAGTACTTCTGGGGAGCACTGGATGAAGGGGTAAGGAAAAGGCCTACCTTCAATAAATACAGGTAGTCCTCAATTTACAACCATTCATTTAGTGACCATTTGAAGTTACAACAGCATTGAAAAAAGAGATTAATGAACATTTTTCACACTTAAAATCATTGCAGCATCCCCATAGTCACATGATTAAAATTCAGATGCTTGGCAACTGGCATATATTATGATGGTTGCAGTGTCCCAGGATCATGTCATCACCTTTTGAGACCTCTTGACAACCAAAGTCAATGGGGAAGCCAGATTCACTTAACAATTTTGTTACTAACAACTGCAGTGATTCACTTAACAACTTGACCTTTATGAAAGGTCGTAAAATGGGGGGAAAGCTCACTTAACAACTGTCTTGCTTAGCAATGGAAATTTTGGGCTGAATTGTGGTTGAATCAAGGACTGCCTGTACTTTTGAACTTAAGTCTCATGGATGACTACCTATACATGTGACCTGAGTCTCAACTTCTTTACCAGTCAGCATTTAGTTAAATATATATAGGTTCTTGTCAGGCCTAGTTTATATTTCAAACAGCATGTTATTCAGTGAATATCAAATGAATGCAAATGTGCATAGACTTACAGCTTGAAGTACAACCATCTTGCTTTAGTAAGGTGATTATTTGCAGCCTGTTTGGGGGAAAAGCAGGAGATAGTGGTGAGGAATACAATAAAAGGTTAAACTATTTTAGCAAAAACATGAACAAGAATCTGGAATTCATGAGTAAGTTATAAGTTTACATTTTTTATTACATTTATAGTATGCATTTTTCCTAAGAAAGACCAGAGAAACCCTGAAATAGTGCCTGGTAAATTTATGTAAATTAAAATTATTTTTCCCAATTCTTAATTATATTATGTAACCAGATCAGGTTGATCTTTGGCATCCTTCAGTCTCAAAAGACTATGGCATCGTGCTCTGAAAAGAGTTCTAAAACAGTATCTAGTGTGGCTAAAAAGGCCAATTCGAGAGAGGCAATCCCTTCCACACTGAGGACAGATACAGATCGGGTTGAAATACGTTGATTTACCCTCTGCTTTAAAAACAACTCAAAACTCAGTTATTGAAAGTCCTTCTGAAACAGCTAACTGAAGGCCACTGATACTTTATTGACACTAATTCTTGGAGGTTCACGAAATAGAATACTGGAACCGGAAGATAACATTTCAATTTTTTTGCTAAATTACAACATTTTTGGATGATTTACAGCAGCTCTTTCTTTCACTTCCATTTGAGAAGTGATAATAATAAATATGGAGAAAGATGACATACTTCATTAAAACATTTAAGGCAATTCAACACTCTTGTACAGCCTAAGTTGCTTGCCTCCTGTGCAGCTGTCACCTGTTCCTTATGCCAACATAGGAAGTTCCGGTCCAGATTGCAATGATTGGCAATGGGACCTGGCTGGTGCTCAGTCCAAGCTATAGCCATTGAAAGGCCAATTGGTTGCTTTCCTTTTAGAGATTGTTAACTCACTAGTCTCTGTACTATTCCTTTACTTTCTCGGATGTTTGCACACATGAATGCCTGCACTCCTCTCTTTCCTCATTATCTCTATTGACTCTACTAAAACTACAGACTGGGTTGTTGTTTTATCTTTTGGTACCATCATAATTCTGCAACAACACCCAAAACAACAGGAACAATTGTTGGTTTTTTTTTGTTGATTTTGTTTTTACTTTTCTCTGTAGCATCTTAGTAAGTTTATAGCAAGGAAGAATTCTTCATTCTTCATAGAAATAAAGTAGTGCTGTTCCTATATTACAACTTAAAGATGTTTTAGAAAACAAGAAAAGGGAAGGGAAGCTTTGCAGTAGAGTGAGCAAGGCATGGGAGAGCACAAGAAGCATTCTTTACTCACTTATTCTATCTTTTTACTAGGCAGAAACATAAAGGGAAATGCAAGGGACATGAGCTTTGGGGGTGAAGGACAGAGAACTGACTGTTGTTGACCAGCAGAGAATGTTACAGCCAAACAATCTAGAACAAGATGGCTGATGGAAACCAACTGCTACAAATGAAGAAATGTGCTAAACTCTGAGGCCAATTGGAGTTGGGGTGCTCCTAAAAGAAATGAAATGCTGGAGACTGCCTCCTTTGAAGGGCTTATAGCAGTTCAGGACAGAAAACAGCAGTTTTGAAACATGGCTGAAAAGCATGGGTGTAGAATGCTTTTGCAATGGACTGGAGTGGGAGGAGAATGTCATCCATTTGTGAATTGAGGAAGTGGCCTGTGGCTCGTACCACAATTGGCCAAGAAGAAAGCACAGATCTGCCTGTCATGAAATACAAAGAGAAAACCTTACAACAGCAGAAAGAAGAAATCCACTTTGTAATGCCATCTATTCTTCAGGTGCTATCTGTTCAGTGCCATCTATTCCCTTTCAAGAAGCAGAATATTCTTTTACAAAGTATTATATACTACTCTCTGATATTTGCTCTGGGCAACAAGAAGGCAAAATTATTTGACTTCTGCACCCAGCACAATCATGTTTACTCCCCAAGATATTTTAATTATACCCTTATCAAATGTTGTTTTTATGTATTAAAGATTATTATGAGCAACATAAAAATATTTCCATCATCATTTTAATTACTACTGTCATAAGTTGATGGGGTCGCAACAGTCTTGGGCTCTTCCAGAAGATATAATTCTTTGGCTCATCACACTTATCTTTGTCTAGCAAAATAACACAATAATACCTATTCTGTTCTTGCAGGTTTGTAATCACTTTTTGAGCATTGAGAGTTCCGATATAATAATACGCTACTGCTACAATCACCATGGTCGAGGCTACAATTTTAAATGAATATATACTCTGAGAGTCACAAATGTAAAATATTTTTCTTTAAAAGTTGCTATGTGTGCTCCATGTTTAAATAGAGCAGTACCTTTTATCCTCAGCATGTATTCTAAATATTTGTGCTAATTTTAATGGGACTTTACAGACACAAAGATATATGGATATGTCCAGGGTGGGGCAGGCTTCACTTTATGGTCTTTGTATAAAATATAATTATGATAAATATGCATTTCAGAAGCCACAAGATAAAATATGGATATACTGGCATGTTCAAACTTTTTCTCATTATTTCACACTTAATTTAGTAGAATAACTATTAACAAATAAATCAACAATGAGTTAAAAACCTGAAATATATTCTTTAATGTCTTGACCGAGAGTCTTGGGATTTGTTTTCCTCCATATATATTAAAATCTAATCTTTTAAAAAATAGTAATATTCAGTTTAATTCCTATATATTTTGGATTACAGAAGCTCATGGCCTGATCATAAGCCTTTAAATGCAGTATATGTCACAATTCAAATATTTGTATTAAAAATTAACAAAACCCCTAAATTTAGAGGATTTGGTTTTAACTTTTAGTGTTAAAGAAACCTTTATCCCAGCACTTGTACTTATTCTCAAAGCAAGTAGCTAATTCTCTATGATTAATAGATGAATAAAATACTTGATAGTAAGAGCCATTTACAATGATGGTTTCCAAATAACAATTTATCCATTTCTGAAATCGTATCTTCTACGAAACTAAGTGAAATCAAATTACCTGCTCTGGAAGAGTAGTTGTAGCTTAGTTACAATTCTCCATTTCAGAAAAATCATGTGTAAAAAACCATGGCAATGAAACCCTGGAAAAACGCTGTCATGAAAAAATATTCCTTCTATTCCATGAGGAAGTCAGGAAGTGACTGAAGTTCCTTTCATGGTTATTTATTATAGGACTTTGCCCCAGGCCAGAGTATCTTCCATTTTTACAGTTGGCATTTTAATCAGGTGAGAGCAATCAATGATTTTGTAACGCTGAGGAACTATCTTAACAATATTTAGCTTCTCGTACAAACCAAGATTCATAACATACAAAAATTATTTCAGAAGAAAATTTGAAGCCACATTCTTATATATTATGATTCAAATGTGAGGGAGGAGGAAATTTTTATTAAAAAGCACGGAAGATGCTCTTTCTTCCCTTATATATGGTACCTATATTGCAGCTTAGCTACAAAATGGTAAAAAAGGAGCAATGCCCCTTCCACAACTACACCTTCTGATATTTATTTAATTATATTTTACATCCCACTTTTATTACTTTATATGTAACTCAAGGTAGCAAACAATGCTCCTTCATCTTCCTATTTTCCTCACAACAATCAACCTGTCAGGTGTGGAGCTGAGACAGAATTACTGGTCCAAAGTCTCCCAGTCAGTTTTTCAAGCCTAAGGTAAAACTAGAACTCACAGTCTCTTGGTTTCTAGAGTAACAGTTTAACTATTACACCAAACTAGCCCTCTTTGGTAGAAGACAGAGGGAAAAGAAAACACCTTTAGGCGTTTGATATTCTCTTAATATAGCCTGTTTCAGTATTTCTCCTGGACTCCATTTCCTGACCTGACTATCTTGAAGTGCTTATGCTCCAAATAAAGGAGGGGGGGGGGGGGACTTGCAAAAGTGAAAAGTATTTCTAACTCAATGCCTTGCTTGCATTTGTACCATCCAAAATAAATCTGTGATAATAACCAGTGCCAATCCAATACAGTGGATAAGCAGTATGGCAATGATTCCTGAATCACTGGTGTACTGCATATACAATGGCAAAGTGAGTGGGTGGGAGTGGGATAAGTATTGAGGGAATAGCCTGGAAAAGAGGATGGCAGTTTTCAAAATACTATAAGCACAGAACTTCTGCATTTTCTTTGTTTATTTGGACTCTTCCTTTATTTTTCTAGGGAATCAATACATTGTAAGTGTAAGATCAAGAAACCAATAAAGGAGCATATTTGTAGCTCAGGTTTGAAATGAGGGAGTCCTTGCTGTTCTCTGAACTTGATTGTTTTTTTTCAGACATTTCATTACCCAACTAGGCAACATCATCAGTACTCATGATGATGTTATCTAGTTTTGGTAATAAAATGTCTGCAGCAAAACAATCAAGCTCAGAGAGCAGCAAGAATCCCTTATGATAAGGAAAGCCCCATCCTAATGAACTCAGAAATAAACTGCGTTTTAAAGTAAGCCTATTCAATTACCCAGATTGTTGTAACATAATTTTATTTTCCTTTTCATTATATCTAGTTCAAGACAGTTCCAAGATTCTTATTTCTTGGTTGTAAGAGATGCTAAGACATTGACAGGTAAAACATATTATGTTGGTCACCATTAGCACAACTGATATTTCGTAAGAGAAGACATTACAAAAAAACTAGCTGAGTATATTAGTCATAATAATTTCAATATTAAAAACTCATTGATTAGAAGGATTATCAGTTATGGTTTTATTTACCAGTTAACTTTTTCAAACACTGATGGGGTAATAAAAAATCCATGGTTAACAGTTGCCTTCCCCAAAGGGTCATTCATTCTTAATTTTCATGAAAGAAAGAAGGAGTACTTCTTTTGTGATGGTGCCTCCAAGGAATCACATGAAACACAAAGAAAAAAGTCCTGGAATTAGATCTATGCAATTATGAGCAACATCAGATTATGGTTTAAGTTTTTTTTCTTTCTTCAGAAACATTATGAATACACATTATGAATACACATACACAGTTTTAGCTATTAGATAAGACTGAAATAATTAATATCTTTCAATTTTAGCCA